TTTCATCGAAATCCATTCATACATCCAAACATTGGCATCCGCGTTCTTACTAATGTAAATGCGATTGTTTGGATGGATGGATGTATATTTGTTTGAAGGTATCTCCAGGAAGGCTCAATGGATCTCGAAGTAATTTGGCACGGATGTAGAACATATTCTCGAATAACACATATGCTACTAATTAAGTTTTATTTTTTTATTTTACGGGGACGGAGTCGTGGGCTACAGCTAGTTTATAATATTAGTAATATGAGCTAAAGGACTACAGTTAATAATATGTCACTTTTATTTAATTTTCTTGTTATCTAACACCAAATATTAACTGAACTGTGTAACTCAGATTGCAAAACATTGACTCAATTATAACTGGCTTTAATGCGAACACGTTATTTCGTAAAATAATGTTTATGTTACACACGATTACATACTAATGCATCGTATACGTTAATTTAAATAACTTAATTTCCTTTAATCACGTAATTAAATCGTCATTATTTTGTAATTAATATTTAACAGCAAAAAGTGTCTTTTAATGCGTTTTTTATGGTACAAAGTAGTAAACGAACAAGCGCCTCCAGATGTCACTATGATCGCAAAGTAACTGTTGCAAAGACATTTAAAACAATTTGAAAGGTTGTTGACACGCTGCCTACATTTGTAGACTGAGTAAGGGACATACAGATGAATATAATTCCCTTGAAAAAAGTTGGATGGATGGATGGATATTTCTTAGAAGGTATCTTCAGAAAGGCTGTATGAATCTCGATGAAATTTGGCATAGAATTTGAATATAGGTTGGAAGAACACATAGGCTACTACTTTTTTTTTCTGCACGTACGGAGTTGTGGGCGACAGCTACTACATGTATAAATTACAAACGTTTCGATTTAAATTTCGTAACAGGTCTACATCTTTGTGGAAGCTAGTTACACGTTATTTATCTGGTTGTAAAATCTCTTTGCCGCTTTAACCTCGCGCTCCGCAGAACCTTAATGGCTTCTACGAGGTTTATCTACTTTACCTACGCTGAAAATTTAAGGTCTTATAATAGCAAATTTTGTAGCAATTTCATGACCTAAATATAACATACGCTAAAATTTTACAGTATGATTGGAAATGTTTGATCTTAAGCAGCAATTTGCGTACTATTAGACTCAAAGTAAGTCGCAAACAACTTGAATAGACTATACTTTATGCGTAGAATAAACCAACTAACCTAAACAACTATAGTATTGGTCAGTTTATTTCGGTTTGGCCGATTCTTCCGTCTTCCTAAAGAGCGATGTCTAATAATTGTTTTTGTCTTATTAAAGTTAAAGATACAGTACCTTAAAAATTATTTTTTACTAGCTGTCGCCCGCGAATCCGTCCGCGCGGAATAAAAGAAACGACTTTATCGTAGTTAAATAATTTTCAAGCATATTTTTAAGTAGTCGTAACAAACCTTGAGAATGCGAGCACGTCTTTAATCCAACGACCACAAAGGAATAGATATTTGAGTTGCACAGATAAGATAAAATATTTTTCAAATCTCGACAAATAATACATTATCTATTGCGCACAATTTTTAAGTTTTAATTTCGTCTTTGAAATATATACAGAGACGCTAAAAAAGCGAACATGCTCTATAAAGAAAGTCAGGTTAAAGAGAAACTGTTAAAAGCGAGAAAAAATCGCATTCCCTTGGACTCTCGCTTTTCATGGTTCGACGTTATAGGATTCGACTACCGAAATAATAAAATAAAGAAACTTTTGTCATTCCCCTAATTCTCTTTGAAATAATAAAGAAAACGAAAAGTTTTTGACCAATGATAATCCTCAGTTATCTTCCTTCTTAACGTAGTTTATTTCGAAGTTTAAAATACGAATAAACAAATCTATTCAATGTTTCTTTTTTGATTACATTGATGTGTACTTGATGGTAGCAAATAACAAATGGTACGAGAAACGATAAAATCTACGGGTGTTAGGGAATGGAGAGGACCCTTACTGAATACGCCCAGTCAATCAAACTAAGTGACTCCTATATAGTCACATATAGGGTTGTCGAATAATATAGTTCGAATTAATTTTCTCAAATAAAAATCTTTTTGTCTTCTAATCCATCATTTTACTTGGACAATTTTAAATTTTATTGAATTTAGGAAATACTTAAAAAGCAGCAACTAATTGCAGTTTAAATCCATCGCAAGACACAACTAAGCACTCGAGTTTAAATACGATGCCTTAACTAGTTGTAAACTTTCTAGATTTCGAAATGTTGACCTCAAAAGCTTATAGTATTTAAAACCTGCTACTAATGGCCGAATTTTGTCTATATAATAAATGTTCGGATGTATGGATGGATGGATGTTGATGAAATTTGGCATAGATATAGGACATAGTCTGGAAGAACACATACGTTACTAATTTTCGAGTAAGAGTCACGGACGACGACTATTTAAAAAACCGAGTTACTAGTTTACGTCAATATTATAATCTAGGTTCAAAATCATTCATAACAGTTCAAACTGATGTATTATGGAACAACCCTGGTTATATGTCTAGTCAGTTCTGTGAAGCGCCACTTGTCTGGGGTTACGCCGGAAGGACGGCGCATCCACAATGGTCACGTTATCTTTTGTCTGACCTATGTTTTTCATAATACGACGCTCAGACTAAACGAAGTCGTTTGATGTAACACTTTTTTTATAATATTTATACATGTTTTGATAACATTATAGAACAATACGTTTATACGCGTTTGTATACTTTCTATACATGGTTTTATGTGTTTTATATTATGTTACTTCTTACTAATATTATAAATGCGAATGTTTAGATGGATGGATGTTTGTTTGAAGTCTCCGGAACGGCTCGACGGATCTTGATGAAATTTGGCATAGATGTAGAACATTGTCTGGAAGAATAGATAGGCTACTTATAAAGCTTTTTTTTTTAATTCCGCGCGGACCGCGTTATTTTCAAATAGTTTAATAAGTGTTGTTGAATAATATTTTTTGTTATTGCAAACAGCAAATGATTTTGGTAAGAATTTTTTAACTGCTAGATGTTGCTAAACATGTTGAGTATTACTCTGAGATTTGTCTGTCGAAATACTGACACTAAGTCGACGTTTTCAAATAGGAGTAGAGAGATGTATTTTTGCACCAGTAACCGTGGAAACACCAAAAGATGCTAATATGAAAAGTTTACTTTTAAATATAAGAAAAAGGACCTTTATATAAATCTTGTTGCTAGTTTTATCCATACGTAGGTTATTAAGTTTAGTTTTAAGTTTTATGTTAATTCAATTTTACCAACCATATTTTTATACTGAAATATGTTCCATCTCCTGAATGTATATTGAAATTTGATATTCGGTAGGGTTGTCAACATTCCTCATTGAGGGGTGGCATTTCAATTGAGGTATTACAAGGGGGATGAGAACACTCTCCACCCATACCTCTTAAACTGTAACTGAATTTCATCTCAATTTAAATCACTTATGTAACTGAATGACTTATTTTTTATACAAAATATATTTTATATTTGGAATTGTTTTTGACTTTTTTAAATATGACTTACTTAACTTAAAGTCCTATGTACCCGCAGTGGGGCAGAGGGCGTCCACAGTGCTTTCTACTGTGTTCGTTTCTTGAATCTCTAAAGTTTCGGGCAAGCAGGTGATTAGCGAACTGCGCCCTAGGCTATTGGCGCCTTGGAGTTCACAGCCGAGCTAGGTTTGTTTCGGGTATCCTCCCTGGTAAATTGTTCTGTTTAGGGCGCAGAACAGTCGCCCTTTTGCCCTGTATCCTTAGCAGCTACAGCTCATGGTAGCGGTCGCAATGTGCAGCTGTAGCAGGTCCCGGGGTGGACGACGGGGACGTGGATGACACGGACTGGCTGAGGCTCTGCTTAGCTTATGTTCCGCTACTAACATTGCAGATAGACTTAGCTTTTATAACTTGGAAGACCAGATTCACCTATCGGTACTTCCAACCGAGATATATGCCGAGCTTCACACCCCGTTTTTAAATATATTATAAAGAATTAAAATTTATCTATTCTTTATTTATGTAAGTCAAGAATTATTTGTTTTTTTTTTATTGATGGTATAATAAATCAGAATGAATTTATATATTTGCTAATTAGGTATGTGTAAAAGATATATGAAGATACCAAGCGTGTGCTAAATCACGTTTTATTATGCAAATGATTGAGAAATAAATTAATTAGTTTCTTTTGTTAATTTAGCAATATTTTCGCAAGACAAATAATTTAAAGAAGACAATTTTTAAAGACTGGAAGATTTTAAAGAAGATAAAAATAAATATTTTATTTTAATTACATAGGCTTGGCTAAATATATGATATGACCTGCTAGTTTTTTTTTTTTAAATAAAAGTGTGGTATTCTGTATTCATTCAATATGCAGTAACAAAAAAGTTTGCTAGTGCGTTCAAAGTCTTATGTCGTGTGTATATAATCGAACTATATTTAAATTTCCAGGTCAAAAAGATGGCAGAACGCGTGTCTAAATGTCGAGAAGAAGTGTCCAAATCTCGCGAGAAGTACCAGTCAGCCCTCGCGGAGATAACAGGCTACAATCCTCGATACATCGAGGATATGACCGCGGTGTTCGAGCGCTGCCAACAGATGGAGGCGCAGAGACTAACATTCTTCAAAGACGTCTTGTTCAGTTTTCATAAATGTTTAAATATCAGTCAGGAGCCCACGTGAGTATTGTGATATTGAATTTTATTGTAAGGAAATAAGGACAAAAATGGCTTGCTTTACTCATTCTAACTATTCTTTTCTTCGATATGAAACGTGTATTTCATAATTAGCTGTCGCCCACGACTCTGTCCGTACGGAATTAAAAAAAAAACTAATAAGAAGTCTGTGTTCTTCCAGATGATGTTCGACATCCATACCAAATTTCATAGTGATCCGTTGAGTAGTTCTAGAGATACCCTCAAACAAACATCCATCCATCCAAACATTCGAATTTATAATATTAGTAAGATGTAATCGATATATCTATATATTTTCAGTTTACCACAAATATACGAAGAATTCCATCATACGATAAACAACGCTGATCACCAAAAGGACTTGAAATGGTGGGCTAACAACCACGGCGTCAACATGGCGATGGCATGGCCGCAGTTCGAGGTAACACCCCCTCCCCGTGCTCCCCCCATGTGCCTAACAGACGAGGTTACCTAACATAGAACACTAGCAGATTAGATTAGATTTGAACCTCGTCGGAGTTACGCACGTGTGAACCTGCCTTTATAATGTAACAGCGATGTTGTTTGTTATGTATTAACTTACTGCTTCTATTTCTTCTTATCTTCTAGAAGCTACCAGATGCGGATATTATGAGCATGTTAGTCCTCTGTTTATAGTTTTATTTATAGATGTATTGGATATTTGCAGTATAAATTCCCGCGGACTGCGTTAAAGACCAACAAGCCAACATTGTCAATGTTTGATTCAAATGTTTGTCAAACATTTGGACAAATATTGGAACATGTTTCACAATTTTATTATAGTATTGTTTCTCACATATGATTTGCTATGGTTCGTGAGGATATCTTGGTATATGATTATAGGAAGGACCAGTGTGTTAAAAAGTATAGTCTGATTGAATATACGTTACAAGGAGGCTTCAACGGAGAGTCTGGAGGCTCGATTCGCATTCCTCACGGCAGCCTCTACGGCGTTAGAGCGCATCGCCGCCTTCCGCCCCCGACTCCCCTCACTGTGGGACGCCTTCCCCCTCCGGCTTTGTTTCGGAGGGGACGACAGCAAGTCGCGAGTGGCGCCCTCGATCTGTAGCTACAGCCTACACGACGGTTGCTATGCCAACCCTATGTTCATACCGGTACGAGAACACGGTGTGGGCAGACATGCACCCACGGCGGGAGTGGACCAGGCACGTCTTACAAATGAAGAGTAGTATATGAGTGCCATTTTATAATGTAAAAAATGGTATATAAAAGAAATAATTAAAACATCTCTAGAAATGAGAAAGTTTCAAACCAAAAAAAAATATTTATCGAGATGCTTTACGAAAAAAAAAACTAAAAATCGATTTCGTAAATTTGTTCACATGCACTTAAAAAAATGAAAGAAAATGGTCTAGCACGCCGCACGTCACGCCGTGATGACCAGATGATGGACATAGCAAAGCACCAGATCATCAAGGGTGCACCCTCACGACACTTCATACTCTCACTCCCACCACATACGGCGATGAAGATGAATGAATAATCACTATAAAGTCACCTTTGTTAATAAAAAAAAGAAGAAATCTTCAAAGTTGTATAAAAATTATTTTTTTATGACAATATCCTAATTTAAATTAACTGACGTAAACCAATTTAAATTTACGTAAACAATAAATGAATTTGCTGTAAAGTTATCGCAAATCTATATAGTTGTTTAGAAAAGTCATAGTTTCCAGTTTAAATACTGTTGCATTATGAAATAAACACGTTTTGAGAGGATACAATCTCGCACAGTCACCACATCGCATGGTTTGCCGGACCCAGCTCAGAACAACCGCAATACGCTTCTAATAAACACTAGCTTTGTATGGATCTTTTACATTTTGTTTCTTCTAATTTTTGTTACTTTTCATTTTGTTTTTTTTTAATTATTGCCTCGACTCGACACGGTGGGACATTGGATAGAAAAAATTAAACTCACTAAGAAGTTATCTTTTAATATTTAATCTCTTATTCTAATTAAGAAAAGTTATTATAATGTTTCGAAAAAAAACAATAACAAATAACTTCCTCGTAAAAATAATTAATTAATACAAAGTTTTACATCTTTTAATGTAAAATTACCAAAGTTTACAACTTTAAATGTAAAATTGACAAAAGTTTACATGTGTAAACTGTAACATCAATGTCCCGCCGTGTGCGTGTTGCGTGCTGTGGCCGACGGCCGCTGACCGCGTGCTGTGGACCAGGAGTACACGGAGGAGTTCCGGGACATCGCGAAGGGCAAGTCCAAGGAGAGCCTGCCCACGGGACCCATCACGCTGCTCAACCAGCGCCCCGTCAGCGAGGACGTACGTCTTACACATACATACACAACTCTTACATTTTACACTCGACAGTTAACACGTTGAATGCCATTACCTTTGACTCCCACTCTGAGACTAAAATCCCCATTTGAAACATATTGCTATCTCTGTTTTATCAAATATGAAAGACAAGGATGGCGATATGTTTTATTCAGAGATTTTGATCGATGTCGGTGTACTTGGTGGCATTGTACGTGTTAATTTTTGTCAATCGAGATAAATGGTAGGAGTTGGAACAATTCTTTTGTACGAACGCGGAAAGAACTATTTCACATACAATATTTATGTCTTAGTTGTAAATGATAGTTTTTTTAGCGGAGTGTTTACAGACGGGACTAAACACAATTTATTTCAATTATAAGGACAATATAAAGATATGTGGAACTTTGCTTTAATACTATACGCGGGAAATAACATGATGCGAGTCCGAGTCTACCGACGTCGTGTGTCGTCATGTGACGTCCTCGGACTCAATCATCATGTTATTGAACACGAGTTGTAGAAATTAATTCTATTTAATTAAGTACTTTTTGTTTTACCCAAATTGAATGGATTGACTTGATTAGTCCCAAAGATTCAAATGAGAATGACACAAAAGTCACGGTTCGTATTCGAAAAGTTTAGTAAATAAAAAAAATTTTTTTTGTCTACAAAACTTTTTATTATAATATAGTTATTTATAGTTGTATGTCTGCATGTAACGCAGTTAGTCTGGTAATGGGTCATTCTCATTTATATCTTATTTTTGCGCTTTTTATGTTATTTTTTTTTTATAAATGTTGCATGATGTATGTAGCTTTAGATATGCATTTTGGCACGTTAGTAACATATTTCAATATTAACACGAATTCATCAAAATAAATATCGATTTTTAATATAAATAAAAGATTTAATTTAACATCAAGATTATTTTTTAAGTAATTTTAGAGCATATCTTGTTAAAATGATACAAGAATACAAGTTAAATTTCAAGAAAAAACAATTTTTTATAATAAATACATATAAAAGATAATTTATATTAATTTTTATTACAACAGGAGTTGCCGCCGATAAATTCAACGAAGACGAGTAAAAACTCGAACCATTCGGAGACGATGAACAGTACACAGAGTGTCGCGCTGCACAACAACACCGCCAGCGCCAACAACACTATAGACAAGAAGACCATCAGCGCACCCATCGCTGTCACGTCAGTAATACATACGTACAAACTGTTAGGAAGAAAATCCGACAGTGCCGGTGTACTGGCAACACTAGCCTTACTGAAATGTCAACGTTTATTTCCCCTCACTAATCATTCTGACACTTGACTTTGTAATGAAAGCGCGCCATTCGCGTCAAATGATTCTAACTAACAACACTTCCTTTTCCTTCTCCCTGTTAACTTTTCCCATATCATTCGCAAATGGAAGCATAATTTTCACTAATCAGTTTCAAAATAATAAATTCCCCGCGGTTCCGTTCGAGTGGAATTAAAAAAAAGACATAGAAGTCTATGTGTTCTTCCAGACTATGTTTTATGTGTGCCAAATTTCATTGAGATCCATGCAGCTGTTCTGGAGAAACCTGCAAACTAACATCCATCCATCCATCCATCCTTTTACGTCATTAAGGAATTTGACGTTCCTTTAATTTTAGCGTTGGAATATAACGGAATATTCGAATTAGTCACAAGGATCACATGTTCCTTTATCCTCACCACTTATCCTTTCCGCTGTCCTAATCCTGTACCCTGTCACGTCTCTCTAGCATAGAACGTCTTGATATATTCATGTGCACGTCAAAGTGTTGCCGCGCGTCGCACGCGGCGACCCCGCGTACAGCACGCGACCACGCCGCGCTCGCTCTCAACGCGGACGCTCTGCCGCTGTATACCATCACTGAGATAAACCCCGCTCTTGAGTTAGTCCACTACAACTACTAATATTAGTAGTTAATTTAGTAGTCGAATTTATTCTTTTTTTTATGTAGTTATTTATATTAGACTCCCTTATTTATGTACTACTAGCTGTCGCCCGCGACATCGTCCGTGCGGAATTTAAAAAAAATTAGTCAATAAAGTTCAAATTGACTCTACATTTTATTTAGAAAACGTTTGTATGGGAAAAAATGGCTGTTTTTAGGGTTTTCCCGGTAATTATTCGAATTTTCCTCACCTTTTAAACCTTCCTCAGACTTCCACGAACATTTTAAGATCAAGATAAGATAAATCCGTTCAGCCGTTCTCGATTTTAAGCGAGACTAACGAACAGCAATTGATTATTATATTATATAATATACGAATTGATTTGTGCAGCTGCTACTTAATCGAATTTTATGTTAACTACAAATCTTCTTATTATTTAGGAATGGCACAGCGAGTGCTCCAAAGTCGGGTAAAACATCCCCGAGCAAGGAGGGTGTGCGGGGGGGTGAGGTGACGCGGCGGGGTGAGGGTCGCGGGGAGGGGCGGCAGGAGAACCCCTTCGAGGAGGAGGAGTGGGAGGAGGAGGGCGGCGCGCTGGAGGACTCGGGCGAGCCCGGCGTGCCGGTGCGCGCGCTATATGACTACACCGGCGCTGAGAGCGACGAGCTTAGCTTCCGACAGGGTGAGTGACAAAGACAGAAATATATTACTATGCTTACGACAGGGTGAGTGACAGAGACAGATATATATTACTCTGCTTACGACAGGGTGCGTGACAGAGACGGCTATATAGTACTAAGCTCTGACTAAATTGTAGACAATGGTCAACGATCTGCGCTGAGTTAATTTCGCAAAAATTTTGCGTTGCGTTTGATTACGAAAACATTCTAAAGTTGTCTTTGACGTAAAACAATGTTAATTTTCAGGCGATCTATTTGAAAAGCTAGAAGATGAGGATGAGCAGGGCTGGTGCAAGGGACGCAAGGATGGCCGCGTCGGTCTCTACCCCGCCAACTATGTAGAGCCCGTGGGGCACTAGCACTGTGGGGGCAAATACGTTGGCAGCTTTGTACCTGTCCGCTATCAGCTAAACTATCGCGATATCACAATGAAAATAATGTGATATAATACTTTATTTGAACACACGATAGTTTTGGAACAAATACGATAGCAAGTATAAATGTCGCCCGCATTGTTTATACAAATGTGCTCTATGTATTATTTATTTTAACAATTTGACCCGCATCTTGTGAATGTAACGAAGCAATAATTGTAACTGAGTTTAAATCTGATTAGTTGTTTTTTAATGAAAACGATTATTCGCAAAAGTTATAAAATCGATTTTTTAACGATTATTTCGTCTCGATATCACTGATAGGCGATTTAAATTACACAAATTGTTTTATTTAAGCAATTAGACACATCTTCATTCGATTATTTGCGTGTCGTGAGCTGCCTTATGATTCGATTCAATCGACACATCGAATAACGATCTTCGTGAATATATTTGACGCATTTAATGTGGGGGGGTTTAAATGTTGTTGCGAACAATTTTGTACATTTTATAAACATGTTCGCTCGCGTGACATTCGCTACGAACATATTTTTGGATAAAATTATTTGTTAAAGTGGAAACCAAAAAATGCTTTGTAATTTTTAGTGACGTTTGTATGCAAATTGTTGTAAATTTTATTATTAATATTGAATCGGGAAGTAATGAGTGAGGACCTCGATTATATCGCTATAGCAATACGATTAGATTTATGTCCCCTGAGAGTCCACGAGGTTGAGCCTCGGAGCATTAGCGAAGCCAAAAAGTTTACGCTTTGTCACGGACTGGATCAGCTGAATTTTTCATCTAGAAACTAAATTGTTTACTCGTCTTTATTTTAACAGTATTTGTAGCTTTTTAAAGTTTTGTTGATGTTTCGGCAATGGAAACTCTGTATGTTCAGATGACACAGTCCGCGGCGCGCGAGGCGAGAGTGTACAGTTGTGATAGCGGTGTACATACGCGATGTATCTTCTTGCATATAAAATATTTATTTCCCATTGTATATAAATGTATAATGATATATAACGGGGCGGCGCTCGGCCCTCTGGCGGCGAAACGAGGCCTAACTATTTGTTTTGGACCATATGTTTATACAAATTGCCGCTTTTTGACTCGGAGGTGCTAATTTCTATAGAGTTGTCGCGCTACATTTGCGCCGCCTCGTTGTTTAGGTTAAATATTGATAGTTAATATATTATAACGATTGTTTATCTTTTCCTTTTCTGTTTTCTATTTGGTTTGGAGTTTGTTGTCGACTGGAGTTCGTCGCTCGTAGAGTTTCAAACTAGAACGTAGATGTATTTGTTTAATTTGTTATGGGTTCAGAGACCACTTGTGAGAAATTCATTGTATATTATCAGAGAGAGGGTGGTTATGGACCACATATTATGTTAATATATTATTAATATTGGTAAAATAAAAATTGTTACACGTGACTCATGTCTTTTATTTACGTCACCTCAATATTGAACATATTGCATGTTTTTTTTATATCATAAGGTGGCAAACGAACGAGCGGTCACTTGAAATCGCTGAAGTAGCGAAGTGACCGTTGCCCATAGACATACGCAGTTGCATATGCGTTGCCTACCTTTAATCGACGGAGGAGAGGATGCACAGAAAGAAAATATTTTCCCTTCCCATGCATCCTCTCATCCGGAAAGTCCACTTCCACTTCCCATCCTTTTCCTTATAAGAAAAAGGGTGGGAAGGGAAAGAGGATTAAATTAGGCATCCGGGACGCACACTCATCAGACTGCACGCGGAATTACTTCCACTTGACGCGTGTCTTCTGTGTGGTCGTGGTATTTCACCGGGCGAGCCGGGCCGATTCGTGCGAAGATGTTAAAGCGGGCTCTACCACTGTTAAATGTTAGTATTATAGAATAAGACTTATTTTTCAAGTAATTACATAAAAATTAAAAACTTTTCAATTTAAAAATCTCGTTTATTTCCATTGTACGCAGTGCAGTTACAGGTACATTACTCTGCGGGCCTCAACATAAACATTACGAACATACAGACACCAACACGACACATACATAGCGGCCAAGGCGGCTTAAGCGAAGCTTCTCAAGGCATAAGGTACGAGATGTGTCAAATTTACTGACGCACGCACAGTCGTTCTCCCTTAGTGCTGATTTACATAGATAAATCTACACTAAAGTTTCGTTCAGAGTGAAATATTAAATAAAATATCGTTATAATTTAGTATGAAATTATTCTGAGCAAATTTATTCAATGCACATTATGTTTATTTGGCACAAACAATTTGTAGCGAGTTTTGAAAATATATGAAGAGAATAAAACGGACGGTTAATTTAGATTTGCCAAAAGTTTTCAATAAGTTTATAATTTAAAAGAATTTTTACTTAAAAAACGGCAAATTAAAATGTTAAAGAAAATCCGTGTACATTTGATATTGTCTTCTTGTTTTATTTTATTTAATATGCCTCAAGAATTACATAAATCTGCGTCAAAAATTACTTCATGCGCTCTTTACTATTAAATATTCCTGCTGTTAAATGAATTTCCACTGCCGTACATTCACTATGATGTTGCGTCAATGTAAACCCACGATATAGGACATCTATGTACAATAATCCCCCCCCGGACCCCGCCCCCGTCCCCCGCCCCCGCCCCGCACTAACATCTGATATGTCAACAGAAACATTCCTATATACAAAACTTTCAACATAACAAAACACATCACGAGATTCTCAATGTTTCATAACCGTACATTTCCACTGATAACTTGCATCAAACATTTCCTCTCTGTTTTATCAAAGACAATGAAAGAGATGGCATTATATACAAGTTTTTCAACGATGGAGTTCTATAACATTACAACAATCTAACATATAAATACATTGTGATGACAACTCAAGCAATAAACAATTTATTGCATTTACTGTGGGTTTCTGAGACCAAAATCCCTATTTAAAACATATTGTTATTTCTATTTTGTCAAAGATATAACAGGGATGAATTTATACAGAGATGGTCTCAGAAACCTGCTTTAATCGCAGCATTCAATTGTTCAATAATCAGTACATTAGTGTTACATCATATGAAAAATCTTCACTAAACATTTCAATAACCCTTAAGCATTGAATCTACACTTAGGAGCTTCCTTAGTGACTGACAATTAATGTGGCAATTATTCTTTTAATATATTATTTGCATTTATTTGGAAATTTTCAGAATTCTTAAAGGCGGTGGGGCCGCGCGCGGGTACATTATAAATGCGATTAACATATATTAAAAAAAAAACTTAAATGAAACAAAACTTTACACAACAATTAAAAGATAAAATATTTACATAACGTAACAATAATATATCTATAAGTTACGTCTAGCACTACGATAACTAACTCACACAAATATCCCAAAGTTTCACAAACATCAGTCAGTTTCCACTGGAGAAACATCAACAAAAACATTATCATCATTTTACACTCTTTAAAAATCCATAATTAGAGTTTTTGTACAAATTCGTACAGTGAAAACCGACTTTAAACTGTTTATAAAAATCTAAGATAATATGTGAAGTTAGTTTTTACATTAAAAAAATGTAATTATCTAGTTATATATTATATTATATGTAATGTACAGACAGATAAATAATGTAACTTATAAGTAAATAAAAATAAATGACAGAATAATCTCAATGTACGGTCAGCAACAAAACTGGATATGGAAGAGTTTATCACTTCCCATATTAAGATCTAATTTCCTTTAAACAATACTTCTTTCTCAATTTTAACTCTTATTTCCTTCTCAATATAGTTTAAAATCCAACGGCAAAATTATAACACTAACAAACAACATATTGTGACGTTCACATAATTACAATTAATTTAAAATGCTTTTTTTTAACTTGGAATAATTGTTAAGCCCTCAAAGAACCTTGAGGTATTTTTACATCAACTAAATATAATCGATCCAGGATAAACGAGAATCCTCTATAAAAGAGAGGCATTGTTTGACGACTAATCCAACAGAACGGAAAAAACGACCACCATAGGCGAGAAACTTGGAATAGAGACGGTTTGACTCTCGTTTATCCTGGTTCGACTGTACAGCTTTTTTAATATCTCATAAAATGAACATATGAGAAACAATCTGTGGGTTTCCACTGCTGTGACAATATCAACACGTGTAGTCTTTCTTTTGTCAGAGATAAGTGCAATGAAAACCCACACTAATGTCCACAAACTTAAACATCGTGATAACATAAAATACACTGCAAATGCAATGAGTATAAAGTCTTGCAGAAATATATTTGTATTTACAATCTTGTAGTCTTCGGTCTGCAGAGTCCGGAGACCGAAGACCAGAGACCGGGGTCTCACTGGAGACAGGCCTGCAACTTCTCGATCCACTCCTGCGCAGCATTAGCGTCGCTTGCACAGAAGTTGTACGTCCGTCGACTCGTCCGTAACTGAAATAAATTTACATTATAAAAATATTAAATAATTAACTCGTGAAATGCTTCAATTTACTTTTAGGTCTAGCTAGATACCCAGGGGTAGAGACAGGCTAGGTCATCATATCTAGGCTAGACCGTTAGGTCTAGTAGTAGCTGGAATTTGGGAATTTTTAAATTTAAAATCTGTAGTGTGATCGCGTGTGATGTCATTCAGTCCCTACTCGACATCAAAATCATACTTGCTAGTGGAAACGCACATTAAAAGATTCACAACTCACATCAAAGAAGGATCTGTCGTCGCACTTCTTGGGCGGTCCGGGCGCCGGCGCCGCCTGCGTCACTGTTATCACCTCCGCTAGATCTGCATATAAAAATATAAATCATACTAGCTGTCGCCCGCGACTACGTCCGCGTTATTAAAGCAGCTTAATAAGTAGTATATGTTCTTCCAGACTATGTTCTACATCTGTGCTAAATTTCAGTGAGATCCATGCAGCCGTTATGGAAATACCTTCAAACAAACATCCATCCATCCAAACATTTGCGTTTATAATATTAGTAAGAAGTAAAATAATGCATTCAAATGTTAAGAATGTAAACAAAATAATTTACCAATAAATCCTTTACAATGCGAATCTTCCATCGCGTCGTAGTACCTCAGTTGATGCTTGATGGAGTCCAGCACGAACCAACTGTAATACATCGATAAAAATATATTAACATAATTAAAATATAAAAAAACATATAAAGCTTTTTCATACGATTGAAATAAGAGATAGCGATATATATCTTGACAGTGGTATATCATGGTAAGCTAGTGTAGTACCGTTGCTTCCATCCTTTGAGCAGTGCACCGCGCTTGTAGAGGTGTCCCTCGTGAGTGCGATCCTCCGCCACGTTCGAGGAGAACTGCTCGTAGTACTGCTGAGACGAGGACTGTAGCGTCGCCACACCTGCATGGTAGACAAATAATACATGTTTATAGAAAATATCATAGACTAGCTGTCGCCCGCTACTCCGTACGCGCGGAATTCAAACAAACATCCATCCATCCATACACCTAAACATTCGAATTTATAATTTTAGTAGGACTGCTAGAAGTTAACGTAGTGTATTTCTTCACATACACGTGAATGTGTCGTGTTGTGTGCATGTGTACGTACTGTTGGCGACGTTTGTGCGCAGGTCTCGGTCGCGGTCTGGCGGCGGCGCCTTGTACTTTGTGCACGGCAACGCGAACGTCTCCGCGCACCGCTCGTGGCACGCCGCGCCGCAGTCCACGCAACGCACGCCCGTCTGTTACCATACCAACCATTAAACAATGTTTATGTACGAAAGAGAAAGAACATAGGAAAGAATAGTAAGACTAGACCCTTGTGAGTACCTCTAGCGGTCCCCATAGTAGATCACCGCAGTGGTCGCAGCGAGCAGGCGCAGCGTGTGCTGCGGGGGCCCAGCGGTGTGCGGGCGCTGCGTGTGGCGCGTGCGGGGCGTGCTGGGGCGCCGCCGCTAGCCCGCGCACCAGCACCTCCAGCGTGCCGCGCCGGTGCGCTGCCGCAGTCGCCCGGCGCACCACACTACTGCACATCGATGCATTGCGCTGCAAACATACCACAATAGATATTTTAAAGTAGAGGGTCTTATTCAATATTTAGTGGTAAACTATGGCATATGTGTACGGTACCTGTAGCTCTAGAGTGTTGGGCAACTCGAGCTGGTCCCAGCGCACTCGCCACTTCTGCGGCAGATGGCCGAGCTCGAGCTCCAGTTGTCGCACGCGCTCCAGCAGACCGCTGAAGGCGTCCGGCATACAGCGCGACACGCTGTCGTAGCCCGCGGTGACGACGCGACGTGCCGCCCGGGGCTCAGCATCGCCGTTCGGCACAAGGTCCAGGTCGTAGGGCGCGCCATGAGACAGCTCCTCGCTAACGTAGTATTCCCACACCTCCAGGCAGTTAATCGCCGACACCGGCCGCAGCACCTACACACATATGACAAAAATAACATGTACATCCAGAATTCCTATTTAAAAAAATATTCGCTAGTAATACATACGGGGTTGTCAAAGTCTGGCGTGTAGAGGAAGTTGTAGAAGAGCGGTGTGCGCTGATGTACGCGCTCCACGAAGTCGAACAGCGAGACGCCGTGCGCCGCCGCGCGCCCGCCGCACTCCTCCTCGCCCGCGCCCGCACCTGTCTCCACACCCTGCACACAACAAACAAACATACATCTAAACTATCGTATTTATGATGTTAGCAAGAAGTAAGATATATTGCAAGATGAGCATTGTGTTGTAGCAGACATTGTACGCACCAGTCGTGTGACGTCAGCGCGGCGGTCGTCAGCGTGCGCGAGGCCGAGCTCCGCGCGTTGAGCTTCACTATCAAACAGGAAGGTACGGAAGCGACACGACACGCTGTGGTACGCCACGAAGCGCAAATAGTAGTCATTGAACTCGAACGCCAAAGGGAACTGCTTTACTAACTGAAAAAAATATGTTGTTAGTTTTTTTAATAAGCAAACGGCTCAATACGATAAGTGCAACGCGCAGTAACCTCCTAAGGAGTTATTTTTTTTTCAAACTTTTTTTAATAAGCTAAATCATTCTGGACCATTTTGATGAAAATTGAAAATTTGAATATTATTTAAAATTTTACACTGCGATGGTAGCGCCGTCTGTCGGATCCAATGTAAAACATTGCAAAATCAACAACCACTAATTAATTAAAAAAACATTGTCCAGCGGACAAAATTGTAAATCTAAACCATTCCCAGATCCCCTTGAACACACACAAAAAATTTCATCAAAATCGGTCCAGTCGTTTGAGAGAAGTTCAGTGACATACACACTATATCTATATATATATATATATATATATATATATATATATATATATATATATATATATATATATAAATATAAGCGTAAATATTCGTAATAAGAACTTGACAAACACTTTAAAGGAATTCTACATACATTTCCATTCATGAAGCATTAGTTCGTTCATTTATTACAACAACTCAACGTTACCTGATGTACAGCGTCCAGGAACATAAGGAATGTAGGTGTGAAACCCTGCTGAGGTGCGGCGGCAAGGTTTGAGCGCTGCTGGAACTTATGCCCCATGGCAAGCCACTCCTTCTCCACTAAAATCCTGAAGCCCTCCAGCGTGCGGTAGTATGGCTCCAGGCAGATCTGAGCCAGCGATGATATCTGCAATACATTTTTATATTTTATATAAATAAAACTATTAATAAAAACACGGATATACGTCGCCAGATGGCGTTAATATACAAAATGCAATTATTATGAAAAATTTTATATCGAAATATTATAATTATTAATAAAAACCGCTTAAAACGTGCTATTTTTCACAATTTGCCTGAACATGCAAGAAAATGAATTTGATAATTTTGTTAATTTTCAATATTAGCGTATGTACCTGCGAAGTAACATCCCAGCCATCCTCAAGCGAGAGCAGCACAGAGGAGCCCTGCAGGTCGAGCAGGTCCACCACAGCCCCAGACAGCTGGAACAGCTGTCGCAGCTGCCACAACCACCCCGACTCCTCCACCAGTCTGCACATTTAGCGTAATATTATGAAGACTAGAAGAACTAGATGGCGCTGTCCTCACAAAATGTATTTCCAATGTATATTTTAACTTTTAGAATATGATAGCGTCTCTCTTAAAAGTGAATAAGGATAAAATTCTACAGAATTGAGTTTTCGCTAACCGTAGGAAGCCGGGATGGTCGTGCTGCGGAGGCGCGGATGGTGCGGCGGCACGCAGCAATTTTTTAAAAGCGTGCTTGGTGGCGCGCGCATCGGGGTACTCCACAGGCACGGCCTGCACCGCGGGCGCCTCCGCCCCGCCCCCGGACACGCCTCCCGCACCGCCCTTGTCTGTCAGCACGTACAGCGCAGCTCGCCGTGCTCCGCCCCCGCCTCCGCTGCTCTCACCGCAAACTGCGACAAAACAAATAAAATAATATTTCTAAAAATTGAAACTGAATTAAATATTTACTGCTTTGAACATATCTAAATGTCTAAATTTCGTAGAAAACCTCTAACAGGCTGTTACTACACTAACCTGAGTCAAGATCAGCGGTGGAGAGTCGCTGCTTGGGCACGTAGAGCTCCAGATGCGAGGGCTGACGGCGGTCCTTAAGCGAACCCCAACGACCGAAATGCCGGCCACCCGCAGCACCGCCCTTGCCGCCACTGTTACGCCCCAACACCCTGACATTATTAATATAGGAAAAAATTTAAGCTCCTTATGAATTTGGAGCTTTTAAAAAATTATTCAATCGTCTTCTGAAACTTTTTTAATCGGTGTAGCGAGCTTCAGGTTAACACAAAAATACTTCGGGATGGAATATTGAGTCCGGATTAAATTTACAGTATTTATAAGGCAGATGTTATAAAAGTGAGAATTATTAGATGATGGTATTAACCCGAGCGTGCCGGTGGCTTTGGCGAGGAGTGGTGTGTGGTGGTCCTCGGGCAGCAACAGGGACTCCAAGCTGAGGGAAGCGGCCTCCAGCTCGCCTCGACCTGCCGGCGTGCACGCAATCAACGCGGACAGATAACGCTCCTGACAACAAAAAAACATTCATGTTTATAAAACGATTTCAATAAAGTTACACTATGATAAAACAGCTTTCTATTAGTAAAATATATTTTTTAATCAGTTAAATAATTTTTAAGCTTTACTGAGACAAACTTTTTTTTATGGTGCTAGAATAAGTAATTTACACTTTGTATCACGCACATGACGTCATTAGACTTAGGTATCATGTTATTGTACTAGTGTAGTATACCTGCTCCAAGCTGGATGTGGGCTCTGTACCGCTCTGCGCTGTGCCCGGCGTCTGATGGCTGGAACCTTTCAGCATACCCATCACACCTTTATGATGGGAAGCACTCGACCTGAAATATTTCAACACTTTGAATTAGACATTGTGATACTACGCAGAAGGGTTAAGCAATGTTGTTCATTATTACAATATTAATAAAGGTCATTGCCGCGTGTACCTAGCTAGTAGCGCGTGGGTTCGCGGGTGTCGCCAAGTAAGCGCAGGCAGACGTCCCTGGCGATAGCAGCGAGCCGCACGTCGCAGAGACTCGTCGCTCACCGCTGCAGGCACCGCCACCACGCACGGGTAGCTGCATCACAACACTTATATACATCTCATTATATCTCTTTAAAAAAGTAACTGCTTAACAAGTTTCAGCAGTGGAAACTCACTCTAAACCTGAACTATTTTCAAAGATTTCTCATATTTTTATTTGTTTGTGAGGCTGCAGACTGACCTTCTGCATAGTGTATAGATAGCGTTTGCATGTGTCAGCCGGAAGGGTGCGCTGGCGAGGCCGAGGCGCGCCCAGTCGCGGGCGTATATGCGCTCGCGTACGCGCTCCAACGTGCGCGCCGCCGGCGGCTCCGCACTATCCGTGCCACCTAACTCAAGTTCTTCCACTGTAATAACATAAAATAGAGATCCATAAACATGAGATAAATATAGTAATATTGTTGGCGATCCAAAAAGCTTTTTTTTTACAAATAGCTACTAACACAGCGTTTTCTTCACCTTATGTACTACAAAAGCGAGTTAAAGCAGCAAAGCGACGTACACTCACAGGACAGTGTGTCCGCAGACAGCGAGGACATGAGGGGCGGAGACGTCAGCGAACGCGCGTCGGCAGACGGCAGCACGTACTTCTGCCGCTTTGACGGCTTGGGCTTTAATCCAGCACGTCGAGCTGTCTTTAATAGAGTCTTCTTCGCGAAACCTCTGCAATTAAGACTATGGTTCAGTAGGTAATTTGATACAGGTCAAACACACAAAGGTTATGTATCATTTTCTTTTAGCGTAATTTGACTTTTTTGTCTGAAAATATTTAATTCTAGAGTAACAAAGTATTTTATGAATGTTACTTTGTGTATTTTATTGCTAATATTGTATTAAATGATTAAAATATGTGTTTTTATGTATGCGTGTGCGTACTTAAGGGTATGGTGTTTAGTAGCGTGCAGCGGTGGCGGCGGCGCGGGTCGTGGTGCGAGGGCGAAGTGTAGCACAGCGGAAGCGGGATGCCGCAGCCGCGCCACCTGCTTGCGGAACGCCTCAGCTTGTTCACCGCTCACCTCTTCGTCCAGCACCACCTGCACAACAAGCACATAAACATTAGACATAAGGTCCCTCGAGCCGGATACCTTAATTTCTATGATGACCAAGGGAGATATAATAGTTGTACATTCCACAATAACATTTTTTATAATATTAAAATAATATACAGTCAAACTATGCAATATTTTTATGACTTTCCAGAGTTTTTTTAATTTAATTTAAAACGTATAATAATCTATTATTGTCGTGAATTAGTTAAGGTACAGTAAAATACATATGTTACCTTAATAAGTTGGAATGTGGCTGCCCTGAGCTGCAGGCCATCAGACAGCGGCTCCAGCTGCGGGCCGTGCGCGCGCACCGCCTTCTCCCGCGTCAGTGCGCACAGCGGGAACGAACGCACTACTGTCTGCTCGCACGCTGACATTCAAAGCTTTTTTTATATAAACAATACCTAACCGACATGTACATCGATATTTTTATATACCTTTGCAAGAAAGTTTAAAACAAATTACTACAGCAATCCCTTAGTGTTGATTCTAGTCAACCTAAATAAACCTTAAACGATTATGAGTTTGACAGAATGAATTATATTGATAACTTTAAGCATTATTCCCTTTACACATTTCAATTTTGCCATTTTAAATACAATTTAAAAAAATCTAAGGCAATGATGTTATCAAGGTTTTAGCTTTTTAAAATATTACTTACCGAAAGGATCAATAGGCGTGCCTTTAAACACAAGCCTGTAGTTGGTGAGGAATAGTGCGCCCTCTGCCGGCAGCAGCGGCGACTCGCGCCCGTCAGCCACCAGCACAGCGCGCAGTGCCGGCGCCGCGCCCGCCTCGCCCGGCACCATGCTCGGCGCCACGATACGTGCCTGAATAACATCAACCAAATTATATTCCACGACATCTTATCACCGAATAATAATATTAGTTGTGAATAACTACGTTAGATATGCAATTTGGCGAGTTCACAATTTGTCAAGTCAAATTAAAAATTGACATTTTGCCTATGAAGGTTTACTAATTTTGCTAGTATACACCGTACCTTTTGCACTGGCGGCAGTCGTCTGCTCTCTCTCGCAACAGCATCCAGCGTCTCTAGATGCATGTGCACCACGCCGGGGATCATCTGATGCAGGCAGCGGACATGATCCGCCGTCACCCCGCCCTCGGTACACACCTACATTCAGTAAATAAACATTGCACTCAGAGTTAAAGGTATACAATAAGGAAGTTATATCGACGAGTAAAAACAGTTTAA